ATGTGGCCAAATTACCCAGAAGACTGACACTAGAGAATAAACAAGTATGGTCAACGATGTGGTGAAAAAAAATATTTTAACTGTGCCGACACCTAAAGTAGCCCAGGGCAAAAAAAAAAAATATCCAGGACAGTGAACAAAAAATGGAACAATTACTGAAAAAAAAAAAAAAATGTTCACTGCAGCAATGGAATAATTAGTCATACTAAGAACTGACACCATATGTGAAGGATAGGTGTATGCAAGATGTATAGTTTTCATGAAAATTAAAATATTTTACTTCTCTTCAAACATACATGAAAGTAGCAATGGTTTTATTCACAGTTACAGTTCTGATACAATAATAAGTTCAAAAGAAAGTGGTTTATTATGCAAGGCATTTTGGGTAAATTAATTCTAATACTTACAAACTACCTAGTGATCTGGAATGCATGCTTAATACAGCAAAAGTCCACAGAAACTATGCCAGTGTCATAAAGGAACCAATTTTACTTCTCTTCAAACATACATGAAAGTAGCAATGGTTTTATTCACAGTTACAGTTCTGATACAATAATAAGTTCAAAAGAAAGTGGTTTATTATGCAAGGCATTTTGGGTAAATTAATTCTAATACTTACAAACTACCTAGTGATCTGGAATGCATGCTTAATACAGCAAAAGTCCACAGAAACTATGCCAGTGTCATAAAGGAACCAACCAAATTCCAAAGAGGGAAATCAAAACTTTTGTGCATACAATGATGATCTGATAAGAAATATCACCATATCAAAAACAATATACTCAGATCACAACATAATTGAGGTTCAGTCATGTATGCGCGGAGCCCCAGACCGACATAAGGAGATTAGTCACGAGGGAGCATTCACCAAATTCAACTTCAATAACAAAAACATAAAGTGGGACCAAGTAAACCAAGTCCTAACCGATATAAGCTGGGAAGATATACTAAGCAACACAGACCCCAACTTATGCCTAGAACAGATTAACTCGGTAGCACTCGATGTATGCACAAGGCTTATTCCTCTAAGAAAAAGGAGGAGTAGATGTAAAACAGAAAGAGACAGGCGCTCCCTTTACAGGCGACGGAAAAGAATAACAGAGCGGCTAAAAGAGGTCAATATATCTGAAATGCGTAGGGAGACACTGGTCAGAGAAATAGCAAGCATCGAACTTAAGCTAAAAGAATCCTTTAGGAGTCAGGAATCGCGGGAAGAACTAAAAGCCATAAATGAAATCGAAAGAAACCCAAAGTATTTCTTCTCCTATGCCAAATCAAAATCGAGAACAACGTCCAGTATTGGGCCCCTACTTAAACAAGATGGGTCCTACACAGATGACAACAAGGAAATGAGTGAGCTACTCAAGTCCCAATATGACTCAGTTTTTAGCAAGCCGCTAACCAGACTGAGAGTCGAAGATCAAAATGAATTTTTTATGAGAGAGCCACAAAATTTGATTAACACAACCCTATCCGATGTTATCCTGACGCCAAATGACTTCGAACAGGCGATAAAATGACATGCCCATGCACTCTGCCCCAGGGCCAGACTCATGGAACTCTGTGTTCATCAAGAACTGCAAGAAGCCCCTATCACGAGCCTTTTCCATCCTATGGAGAGGGAGCATGGACACGGGGTCGTCCCACAGTTACTAAAAACAACAGACATAGCCCCACTCCACAAAGGGGGCAGTAAGCAACAGCAAAGAACTACAGACCAATAGCACTAACATCCCATATCATAAAAATCTTTGAAAGGGTCCTAAGAAGCAAGATCACCACGCATCTAGAAACCCATCAGTTACACAACCCAGGGCAACATGGGTTTAGAACAGGTCGCTCCTGTCTGTCTCAACTATTGGACCACTACGACAAGGTCCTAAATGCACTAGAAGACAAAAAGAATGCAGATGTAATATATACAGACTTTGCAAAAGCCTTCGACAAGTGTGACCATGGCGTAATAGCGCACAAAATGCGTGCTAAAGGAATAACAGGAAAAGTCGGTCGATGGATCTATAATTTCCTCACTAACAGAACACAGAGAGTAGTCGTCAACAGAGTAAAGTCCGAGGCAGCTACGGTGAAAAGCTCTGTTCCACAAGGCACAGTACTCGCTCCCATCTTGTTCCTCATCCTTATATCCGACATAGACAAGGATGTCAGCCACAGCACCGTGTCTTCCTTTGCAGATGACACCCGAATCTGCATGACAGTGTCTTCCATTGCAGACACTGCAAAGCTCCAGGCAGACATCAACCAAATCTTTCAGTGGGCTGCAGAAAACAATATGAAGTTCAACGATGAGAAATTTCAATTACTCAGATATGGTAAACATGAGGAAATTAAATCTTCATCAGAGTACAAAACAAATTCTGGCCACAAAATAGAGCGAAACACCAACGTCAAAGACCTGGGAGTGATCATGTCGGAGGATCTCACCTTCAAGGACCATAACATTGTATCAATCGCATCTGCTAGAAAAATGACAGGATGGATAATGAGAACCTTCAAAACTAGGGAGGCCAAGCCCATGATGACACTCTTCAGGTCACTTGTTCTATCTAGGCTGGAATATTGCTGCACACTAACAGCACCTTTCAAGGCAGGTGAAATTGCCGACCTAGAAAATGTACAGAGAACTTTCACGGCGCGCATAACGGAGATAAAACACCTCAATTATTGGGAGCGCTTGAGGTTCCTAAACCTGTATTCCCTGGAACGCAGGAGGGAGAGATACATGATTATATACACCTGGAAAATCCTAGAGGGACTAGTACCGAACTTGCACACGAAAATCACCCACTACGAAAGCAAAAGACTTGGCAGACGATGCACCATCCCCCAATGAAAAGCAGGGGTGTCACTAGCACGTTAAGAGACCATACAATAAGTGTCAGGGGCCCGAGACTGTTCAACTGCCTCCCAGCACACATAAGGGGGATTACCAACAGACCCCTGGCAGTCTTCAAGCTGGCACTGGACAAGCACCTAAAGTCAGTTCCGGATCAGCCGGGCTGTGGCTCGTATGTTGGTTTGCGTGCAGCCAGCAGCAACAGCCTGGTTGATCAGGCTGGGCCGCGGGGGCGTTGACCCCCGGAACTCTCTCCAGGTAAACTCCAGGTAAAGTACTGTACCTCATAACCTAGGGATGCTTTTGTACATTTTAACAAAGCTCTCACCCTATCCCCACACACACTGAGGTTATTTAAATAGTTGTACACATTATATATTGAGTTGGGAAGCACATCCTGTCTCAACACTTGTATGTCAGTGGTTAAGAGCCGCAGGTTCTACCACAGTAAACAAATAACAAGTGGCCCTTGATATCAAAGGTACACTAAGGTTATATATATCTATATATCTATATATCTATCTATATATATATATCTATATATATATATCTATATATATATATCTATATATATATATCTATATATATATATCTATATATATATATCTATATATATATATCTATATATATATATCTATATATATATATCTATATATATATATATCTATATATATATATCTATATATAATATATCTATATATATATATATATCTATATATATATATCTATATATATATATCTATATATATATATCTATATATATATATCTATATATATATATCTATATATATATATCTATATATATATATCTATATATATATATCTATATATATATATCTATATATATCTAATATATATATATATATATATAAATATATATATATAAAATATATAATATATATATGTAATGCACAGGAAATGAGAGACTTGTAACACCTTACTGTACTACACCTATATACCATACTATATACTTTATTAAGCTCTTAAATGCTTTTCTATGGAGCTTTAATGAGCTACTGAGCATGTCAAACAAAATGCACAGTTATTTTCACTGATGTATACAAGAGAAAATGTTTCTGTTCTGCCTTAGAATGCCTTTATATTTATTTTGGAATATGTCGTGGGTCCTGTAGCTGATGAACCCTTACTGAAGTGCTTGACAATATCCTCACTGCCCCACTGAAGTCTCCCAACTCAGGCTGACAGACTTTGACACCTAATACAAGCCCATCCTGTGTGACGTAACATGACTGGGTAACAGCTAGCTTTTGCTCCCACTGTGTAATTATTATACAGAATTGAGAAGCAGCACACTGCTTATGTATCCAATTAAAAAACAAGTTACATCAAACCAAAAGACCAAAAGTCAGTCATACTGGAAATTTAGTAGTGTTTTTGGGTAGCACAGCTATTAATTGAAGGTTTCAGCACATTAAGTTTCCATGTATGAAGCAGTAATAATCCTGTATAAAATCAGTTTCTATTTACTATTGTATCTGACTCACAGCTGAGGAATTCAGATTATATCTCAAGTGGAAATATTGCACATGTTGCCTTGCGCTTATTGACCCTATTCATCTAGCAGTAAGCAGTACCTGGGAGTTAGCTTACAGTTATGGGTTGCATCCTGGGGAATAGGATCAAAGGATCCCAATCGAAATAAGCTAAAGTAATAAGTACCAACAAGTATTTTGTGAATTCAAGTTATTATTTTACACTTCAAAAATTATAACCTATGTACATCATGCTATAAGTGCTGCCATACACTTTTCAATACATACAATTATGTACCTCATGGAATAAGTATTTCTTAGGCAACCGGCTCCCAATCAAATAATTTCAACAACGGAGTAGCGTTCTAGAAGAGACTTCCCATATTTAATCAAATTATATAAACATGTTTGGGGCCATGTTACGACTGTATTTAATGGAAAAACTAATTAATAATGACCGCTATCTCCACGGTCAAGTACAGGAGGTTCACCCACCTCTTACAGCAGGTTTTTTCCTCACATTCAACTGTAAAATTTCAGTTTGAATGAAACTGAGGAACATCTATCCCCCACAATATTAATATAAACAAAATTTAGGCCAAACAAGATATGTGTTGACAGGTTGAGCCACACCCCATCCTCACATTACTTACCCACGATCTGGTCTTCTGAGAAGGCTGCCTGCAACGAAAATAACACCTCAGTTACCTTCACGTATTTACAAGATCCTCGCCATAATAAAACAGAAAATTCGGCAATGTGTCATCAGAAAAATAAGCAGAAAACCACTGACCATTTTTACCGCCGTCCTGCCGACACTAACACTTCTCTAACACTGACTCACTCACACTTCTCATCCTCTTTTAAAAGACACACATTTTAACTTTTCCTCTTCCTTTGCACTAAACTACTTCCAATATGGCTTTCAAACATATAAGACACAACTAAGAAAATATATTATACTGAATTAGTGCTACAATAAGTTCTTTTTAATAATACTTTCACAGCAGGTGTAAAATGCTGGAACGCTGAAGCAACAGCTGGTTGTAAGGCGCCTCTGTGGCACTATCATTGACCTGACAACCCTTAACCACATGATGCCATATAATCCTTCCATATGTACTATTAGTAACATTTTTAGCGAATTTGCTTCGGTATACTGCTTGTTTATCTGAAAAACTTAGAGAAAGTGATGAAGAACAAGTTAATAAAGCTCAAATTAGGTTCAAACAGTGTGGTCTGTTTAATATTTGATTATGTTATTCCTTATTAGGCATGATCTATCCTCAACTGAGACTTACACCGTGGAAATTGGATGACACTTATGGTATAAGGCAACTGGGTTGAATTTACTGTGCGAGGCGCAGGAGGCCGCGTACGAAATGCACCAAGTTGAACAGGATGTTTACACCTGTACTCTTTTCATAAGTAAACATTTGTATTTTTACAACAATTGTTTACGAGCATAGTCAGTCAAAATGAGGTTCATGTTATACTAAACGAAGTACAAGAATTTCATTACACAAACAAGAATAAAGATGGTTCACAAGTATATTAAGACACTTATTAGTATAAATAATACAAAATCTTATCAAGAGATATACTTTACCTCCGATAACATTCCGCTCATGTTAATTTATCTTGTAAATAACAACTTTCAACGGGAAGTTCATTATGGTGATAACTTGTGTAATCATGTACCTGAATACACTTACTTACATGGAGGTAGTGTTCGTACACATACGACTCAGGTATGATTCACCAGCACATAGCTAAGTGTGACCTAATTAACAACAAACACTTGTCAGTACAGCCTGTCAACACATCCTTCATGCAAACTGTAGTGGAATGTACATCACAAGCATGGGAAGTAAGTCACTCTTAATTTGCTGGGTCATTCTAGATTTTATCTATATAATTTACCACCAGAGTTCACCATCTGTACATTCACCGGCAGCGCCGTACGACCCATGTGGGTCTAGCGCTTAGCAATGATGGTAATAATAATTGTAAATTCACCTGTATTTTTCTTGTATTTCGCCTGAATAAATCATGGCCCAAGTTACACTGGCTGTAAATATACCTGGCTTAAATTCACTTAATGGATCACACTACTGAAGTCTATAGCTATTATATAATTGTTACAAGCTTTCTGTAATTGTAAAAATATATGTTGTGTACCTGAATAAAACTTGTCTTTATCACCACTTTTTAATTTTGCATCACATAATAAATAAACCAAGATGTGTGTGTCTCTCAGTGTATAAATGATGAGACTTGAACCCCTATTTGAGATATTAAAGTATTCTTGATTAATGGTGAACAAGCTACAAGCAGCCTAATGACCCTTGTGAATTCTATAGGCTTTAAGTCTCATTAACCAACCAGAGGTAGATAAGGAAGAGTATGGGCCTGGTCATGGGCAGCGGGGCGTTGACCCCCGGAACACCCTCCAGGTATACAGAGGTTTTATGTAAAACAAAACAAAAACAAAAGTTTATTTCTTTGCAAAGGTTACAATGTGTGTTTACATTTCATAATTTGACTGGTACAAATTATTATTATCAAAAAGAAGCGCTAAGCCACAAGGGCTATACAGCGACTGGTACAAAGAAAGCCACTATCATGCCGGGGCATTTAGGGCAGACTAACCTAGAGAGCTGTCGGGTTATTTAATCGTTGTTGTAGATTAACTGCTTGCAAATATAAGCTAATTCACGTTACCTAACCTAAATTAGCCTTGAATAATAAATATTAATGTTTACAAAGGCCTAGATGGGACGGAAATCAAAGAGCTGTAATTCTTGTCAGAACGATTGTCATATTTGGAAAGCAAGTTGTAGTAGCCACCGCCTCATTAACATCCTCCTCATACGCTGCTATGATTCACCCGACTCGTCCAACTGTCTTATTTACTTTAGGAGGTAAATCTCTCATGGTTTAGCAGCACTAACAGAAAGTTAACTTCCAGAGGAAGCTATGGATCAACAGATGGACTGCTGCATCGGGGTTAGCTCAGCTGATCAATGTTGCAGATTTTACAGCTGGGTGTTGTGGTTATGTTGATTAGCGAAGGTTGGAAAGTCAGCTAGCTAGCTGCCTACCTGCCTGCCTGCATGTCTAGGATACTCATGATGTGTGTCTGTAATCATTTGGTCAACGTACATATTATGGGTATAGAGTAACTACCACACACAGTATGAGTAGAGGGGTGGCCACCACACACAGCATGGGTAGAGGGCTGACCACCACACACAGCGTGGGAAGAGGAGTGGCCATCACACACAGCATGGGAAGAGGGGCGACCACAAAACACAGCATGGGAAGAGGGGTGGCCACCACGCACAGCATGGGAAGAGGGGTGGCCATCACACACAGCATGGGAAGAGGGGCGACCACCACACAGCATGGGAAGAGGGGTGGCCACCACACACAGCATGGGAAGAGGAGCGACCACCATACACAGCATGGGAAGAGGGGTAGCCACACACAGCATGGGAATAGGGGCGACCACCACACAGCATGGGAAGAGGGGTGGCCACCACACACAGCATGGGAAGAGGGTTGGCCACCACACACAGCATGGGAAGAGGGGCGACCACCACACAGCATGGGGAGAGGGGTGACCACTACACACAGCATGGGAAGAGGGGCGACCACCACACACAGCATGGGAAGAGGGGTGGCCACCACACAGCATGGGAAGAGGGGCGACCACCACACACAGCATGGGAAGAGGGGTGGCCGCCACACACAGCATGGGAAGAGGGGTGACCACCACCACACAGCATGGGAAGAGGGGTGACCACCATACACAACATGGGAAGAGGGGTGACCACCATACACAACATGGGAAGAGGGGCAACCACCACACACAGCATGGGAAGAGGGGTGGCCACCACACACAGCATGGGAAGAGGGGTGGCCACCACACACAGCATGGGAAGAGGGGCGACCACCACACACAGCATGGGGAGAGAGGTGGCTACCACACACAGCATGGGAAGAGGGGTGACTACCATACACAACATGGGAAGAGGGGTGACCACCATACACAACATAGGAAGAGGGGTGACCACCACCACGCAGCATGGGAAGAGGGGTGACCACCACACACAGCATGGGAAGAGAGTTGGCCACCACACACAACATGGGAAGAGGGGCGACCACCACACAGCATGGGGAGAGGGGTGACCACTACACACAGCATGGGAAGAGGGGTGACCACCATACACAACATGGGAAGAGGGGTGACCACCACCACACAGCATGGGAAGAGGGGTGACCACCACACACAGCATGGGAAGAGGGGTGACCACCACACACAGCATGGGAAGAGGGTGACCACCACACACAGCATGGGAAGAGGGGTGACCACCACACACAGCATGGGAAGAGGGTGACCACCACACACAGCATGGGTAGTGTGGAAAATAAAACTTCGCAAAACGAGTTTCACTTTCTGCCGTATTTAACACGTAAATGACAGCAGTTATGAGTTAGAGTTAGCAAAGTCTAAATATGAATAAAAAGGATTTTAAAATTTCTTTTAGAGTAGGTGTAACCTTTTCTTCACAAGAAACACCAGCGCAAAAAAAAAGGTGAAGGAGAAAAGCCTTAAATGTACCTTCGTGGCTACACCACTGGAAGAAATGGATGCAAGGCAATGTAACACCATTATTATTATTAAGAGGGAGCGCTAAATCCATAGAGATTATACAGCGCCTGTGGGGGGAGGGAGAAAGAAAGGCATTCAGGTTTAATTCAGGGAAATGGAGTACAGATCCAATTCCCTGCAAAATGAGCCCCTCACCAACAACAGGGAACCTCCCTTGACGGGGAAGTAACACCGGCCTTCATACATGTATATTATCCATTATACATGTACACAGAATGGAGTCAGTGTACTCTGTGGATTCAACGTTTACCTGGAGAGAGTTCCGGGGGTGAACGCCCCCGCGGCCCGGTCTGAGACCAGGCCTCATGGTGGATCAGGGTCTAATCAACCAGGCTGTTACTACTGGCCGCACGCAAGCTGACGTACGAACCACAGCCCGGTTGGTCAGGTACTAAGTGCCTGTCCAGTGCCTTCTTGGGGGGGGGACATTTCTTTTCAGGCGATGCAGCATACCCCCCAGTGAAAATTATGGGCGCCATTAGTACACTAAAACACAACAAGTGTCCTGGGCCCAAGACTGTTCAACAGCCTCCCACCAGCCATAAGGGGAACTGGACAGATACCTAGTCAGTGCCTGATCAGCCGGGCTGTGATTCGTACGTTGGACTACATGCGGCCAGCAGTAACAGCCTCGTTGATCAGGTCCTGATCCACCAGGCCTGGTCATGGACCGGGCCGCGGGGGTGTTGATCCCCGGAATACCCTCCAGGTAGGTAGACTACGGGCTTCCCTGGACGAGCTTTCGGTGTGGGCACGTCATCAACACTATCCTCAAGGAACTGTTCAACCAACCCATCCAGGTCCTCACCGATCGCTCACACACATCGATAGCTTATACCATATCCTTCGTTTGACTGTCTGTCTTGTGTAATCCAGTGATCTCTTTTGTGTGTGTCGACGATATACTCCTGCCCATATTAATTCGTTAACAGCCAAAAATGTCCGACAGACTCGGCCCTTAAGACTACACGGTACAGAGGGACCACGATCACAAAACCATTCAACACAAGCCTAGAAGGCGCTTAGGATGCAGCAAATAGCCATAGAAAATTCTGGGGCATCCCGCTTCCAGTATAACTCTGTCTCATTGATCAGTGTGCCAGGGTAGGGTATTACTTGAAACATTAAATTAGGTTGGGTGCCTTCCACCCAGCGTACTTCAGTGACGAGCACTGACTGTACTTACCTAATTGTGGTTGCAGGGGTCGATTCATAGCTCCTGGCCCTGCCTCTTCACTGGTCGCTACTAGGTCACTCCATCCCTACTCCGTGAGCTTTATGTGTGTGTATGGCTGTAAAATTTATGTATATATACGTGTTTATGCATACATGTGAATATGTGTGTCCATAAAGAACAAAAAGGCACAATACCTGGAGTTTACCTGGAGAGAGTTCCGGGGGTCAACGCCCCCGCGGCCCGGTCTGAGACCAGGCCTCCTGGTGGATCAGAGCCTGATCAACCAGGCTGTTGCTGCTGGCTGCACGCAAACCAACATACGAGCCACAGCCCGGCTGATCCGGAACTGACTTTAGGTGCTTGTCCAGTGCCAGCTTGAAGACTGCCAGGGGTCTGTTGGTAATCCCCCTTATGTGTGCTGGGAGGCAGTTGAACAGTCTCGGGCCCCTGACTGGACTGTGACTGGAACAATACACAAATGACCCGCACATTTGAGAGAGGATGTTACCAAAACGTTTCGGTCCGACTTGAATCATTTATAAAATAAGCTCCTTCCTCATATGTGCAGGTTGTATATCCTTTACCATAAGCATCAACAGTACCACCACCATCACTATCATTACTAAATGAATCGTTTCAAGACCCGGTGGCCTGGTGGCTAAAGCTCCCGCTTCACACACGGAGGGCCCGGGTTCGATTCCCGGCGGGTGGAAACATTTCGACACGTTTCCTTACACCTGTTGTCCTGTTCACCTAGCAGCAAATAGGTACCTGGGTGTTAGTCGACTGGTGTGGGTCGCATCCTGGGGGACAAGATTAAGGACCCCAATGGAAATAAGTTAGACAGTCCTCGATGACGCACTGACTTTCTTGGGTTATCCTGGGTGGCTAACCCTCCGGGGTTAAAAATCAGAACGAAATCTTATCTTATCTCAACCCCGAAAACGGAGATCTTATTAAGGTTATCCTTTGTCGTGGTTTTCACTCTCCTGATTGGGAATTTTCATGTTCCCATTCTCTTTCCGGGAGAAACATTGTTCCCTTTCTCATTCTCGACCAGATTTGAAAATTTAATTTAGTTTTGTCGCGTGAGCGGCTAGTTTATTGAGAGGTTGGCAACGTTCTTGACTCACACTGTCTGTGGTTCAGTCTCAGGCATGGGTGGAAATATTGGACATATTTCCTTACACCAGCTGTCCCTGTTCACCTAGCATTCTTATTATTATAGCAGTCAGTAGGTACCTGGGTGTTAATCGACTGGCGTGGACCGCATCCTGGGGGACAAGATTAAAGAACCCTAATGGAAATAAGACAAAACAGTTCACGATAACGCACTGACTTTCTTTGGTTACTTGAGTGGCTAATCCTTCCCAGGTTAAAAATTCGAACAAATCTTATTCTCACACCATGCTCATCCTGTGAGCGGTAGCACAAAAACAGGATTACAGAGGTAAGTTGGTTTATTTAGGTGTAGGTACACAAGCACAATTACCATGCATAGTGTAAATTACCTAGGATAGCCCCCAAAAGTCAGACTAAATTACTTATTTTCATTGGGGTCCTTGGGTCACTCTGGGTCTTTGTCAGACCCCACTGAGCATTTTTACATTACTAGATTATAATAAAAAAAAGCGCTAAACCTACTTTTACATTGCTAGAAAGCAATGTTAGTTATTTCATATTTTACAGTTACTTCATATAGATGTTGTAAACAATACGGTAAGGAATACAATCTCCAAAATTATTTCTTTTCTCCGGATTTCCAGGTGGTAAGGCTCAATAAAGCGTCAGCTTTGGTGGCCCTGAATAACCTCAACTCCAACAATACGGCGCCAGCTCTGGCAGCTCTATAAACCCTAGCAACAAGAAGTTAATTTTTATAATAAGTTTTATACAAAAGTTTAAACTTTCAACTGTATCTTTCAAGGGAGGTTACTTGACGCTGGTGAGGGGGCTCTTAATCCAAGGGATTGGACTTGTCCTTCCCTTTCTTGGATTTAACCTGAAAATTCTTTGGATCTATAAGTAGACACCCCTCAAGGAAGGTTCCTTGATGTTGGTGAGGGGCTCTTGATTTAGGGAATTGGATCTGTGCTCCAGTTCCCCGAGTCCCCTCAAGGAAGGTTCCTTGATGTTGGCGAGGGGCTCTTGATTTAGGGAATTGGATCTGTGCTCCAGTTCCCCGAATTAAGCCTGAATGCCTTCCACATCCCCCCCCAGGTGCTGTATAATCCTCCGGGTTTAGCGCTTCCCCCTTGATTATAATAATAATAATAATAATAATAATCCAGTTCCCCGAATTAAGCCTGAATGCCTTCCACATCCCCCCCCCAGGCGCTGTATAATCCTCCGGGTTTAGCGCTTCCCCCTTGATTATAATAATAATAATATATAAGTAGACAGCAATTTAATATTCAACATTATCATCAGGCACATAACCAAGATGTAGATGTAGATTCAGCTTTAGATTTTTTATTTTAAATCGCTGCAAATACATAATATACCATAAAAAACCAGTAGGATGTGTAGTATTTTAGGCAAATTAGATTTATAAAAGAGAGATAAGATACTAGCGCACTTGGCTCAGTGTCTGTGGTTCGATCTCCGGCACGGGTGGAAATAATAATAATAATAATAATAATAATAATAATAATAATAATCTTTATTTACTACAAGTACATGTACATGGTATACAGTCCTAGCTGACAACAATGACATACTACTACATAGAAAGCCACTTGTTATGCTGAGCATCTCGGGCAAATTAGGTCAGTGTCCCAGGATGCGACCCACACCAGTCTACTAACACCCAGGTACCCATTTTACCTGCTGTCCCTGTATACCTAACAGTAAGTAGGTAAATGGGTATTAGTTGACTGGTGTGGGACGCATCCTGGGGGGGACAAGATTAAAGGACTCCAATGGAAACAAGACAGACAGTCCTTGATGACACATTGACTTTATTGGTTTTTCCTGGGTGGTTAACCCTCCCTGGGTTAATAATCCCAGAAAAAATATTAATAATTATAATTTATTTCAGCATAAGTAAGTTTATTCAGGTATATACAAATACAGTTACATAGAATTATCATACATAGCAGCATATGTGTAGAAAACCTAGGATAACCCAAAAAAGTCAGACAGAGTGACTTATTTCCATTGGGATCCTTTATAGTGGTTGTACAAAAAGGAATGACATTAGGTGTACATGCTGAAAGCCCCTATATATACAGATTATTATTATAATTAAGGGGGAAGCACTAAACCCATAGGATTATGCAATGCCTGTGGGTGGGGGATGTGGGGAGGGATGTGGAAGGTATTCAGGCTTAATTCAGGAAACTGAAGCACAGATCCAATTCCCTAGATCAAGAGCCCCTCACCAGCATCAAGGAACCTTCCTTGAGGGGCCTGTATATGCAGAGCATTTCAGGCAAACTTAAGACTAACTTAAGATTAAGAGGGCAATAACAGTAGCATATGTGCCCCAAACATTACTTATTCCATACTACTTTCAGTCTTTCCTTAACTCACCTATGGTATATGTGCTTGGGAATCTACTACAGAAAATCACTTAAAACCAGAAGTAACTCAACAGAAAGCTGCTGTATGAATGACCATTTAAACAAGTGCTAGACAACACACAATCCCACTCTTCAAAGGTTTAGAATTTAATCAACATACAAAACATTTGCCGTTTCTTCTGTTCATAGCTGTATAGCTCTTGTGGCTTAGCACTTCTTTTTGATTATAATAATAATCTTCTGTTCATACTACTATATGTACAGGATAACAATATATACATACACAGCTCAGAAAAGCTTTTTGGAGAGCTGCAACAGAAATCAGCATAACAAAAGAAACAAATACCCCTTTTGATGTGCCCCATGGTCGACTCGACCCAAGTAAAACCTCACTGCACATAAAATGCCCAAAATCTTGAACTCTGGCAGAAGAATCTAAAGGTTCCTTATCTGCCAACTACTTCAAAGCTACTACTAAAAAGCACCTCCTTACCTTAATGTGATTCATTCTTCCAGTGGATTTTTTTCCACTGATGATGCTACGTCCATCTGCTTCATCTCACCTGTCTACAGTATATAAGGACCTTCTCTGCACATTTGTTGTATAAGTATCTCATTCATCTCTTTATAAGTTAAAAGCTCCTAAACTAAATGATTACCAAAATAATGATGGTCAAGTAGAAATTAGCCACTTGAAAAAGAACTACCATTCTGTCATATACAGTGGACCCCCACTTTACGATCAGCTCCCAATGCGACCAATTATGTAAGTGTATTTATGTAAGTGCATTTGTACATGTATGTTTGGGGGTCTGAAATGGACTAATCTAATTCACGATATTCCTTATGGGAACAAATTCGTTCAGTAATGGCACCTGTACATACTTCTGGAATGAAATATCGTAAGCCGGGGATCCACTGTACCTGGAAATGGATTATTATTCTCATGGGGGAGCACTAAACCTATAGGGATTATACAGTACCTGTGGGGGGGATGGAAGGTATTCAGACTCAATTCAGGGAACAGGAACATAGATCCAATTCCCTAGATCAAGAGCCCCTCACCAGCATCAAGGAACCTCCCTTGAGGGGACCTGGAAATGGAAGCCTCTTAAATGTTTTGCACTCTGGCAGGATTGTTTTTTTCATGAGCATGTAAGATGGTAGGAAAATCTTAAACATCTACTGCGCTCTATGTATACACACACCCCTCAAGGAAGGTTCCTAGATGTTGGCGAGGGGCTCTTGATTTAGGGAATTGGATCTGTGCTCCAGTTCCCCGAATTAAGCCTGAATGCCTTCCACATCCCCCCCCCAGGCGCTGTATAATCTTCCGGGTTTAGCGCTTCCCCATTGATTATAATAATAATAATCTATGTATACACTTTACTTTCCTATGTGTTTCTTAATATAGAGGTTCTTAATATCAGTGTTATATACCATTAATATATACATAATGATGCATTATTTCTTTTCCAAGTTTGAAAGTAAATATATATGTTCACCTTTTTTAATGCTAGTTGTAACCCAGCATACTATTCCATTTTTATCATTAAAACTGTCTTGGTATCTTTTATTATTACTTCTTGTATTAGCATCTGTATGCTACATTATTAATTGTATTACTGTATTGTTATTTTTTTGGGGAAGACCATAAGTATTGATTCTAATAAGGGGTAAGCAGAAAACCTATAGGGGTCATATAGCACCTGGGAAATGGGAGGCATTCAGATTTGATCCAAGGAAGGATAAATCCAGTTCTTTGCATCAAGAGCTCCTCACCAGTTAAAATGTTCAGTAATTGAAATCAGTAATTTTAAAGTACAATAGCATGAATTTGTAAGGATTATTCATTAGTAATTAATAATACATTATTTACAGAAAGTGAGGATGGGCCGAGGAACAGGAAGGCGGAGAATAGTGAAAAAAGATGACATAGGGAACACCAAGATAGCAGTAATACCAAATCTAGGTTGGTATTATTTTCAGTGATAATGCAGTGAATAAATAGTAAATACATAATGCCCACTCATGGTACCAGTGCCAGAAATTTGTAACTACCACTTTACCAGCATTTCATTTTAAAATGCAGTACGTATTATTCTCTTGACAGAACCTCGTAAAACTAGGAGCCAATCTCTCAAGGAAAACCAAGAAGCTGGGATACATCTTCCAACTGCACCACAAGAAGATGAAAACAATTTCCCATCTAATTATGTGGATGTAACACTGAGGAGGTCACTGTCAAGGGCAGGTTCAGACGATTCTGCATTTTCATCGCGCAGCTCGGTGTGGTCTCGGTGCAGTAATGTTTCCCTTGTCAACATAATGTCCCATGGTGTAGTAACAAGGAGACTAACACAAACCCTTGACCCTGTAGATGAGGAAAGAGTTATAAAACCAAAGGTTGATATAAATTCTGACACTATTAATTGGGTAAATAGCTTCTCGCCGGCAAGAGGCCAAGCTGCTGTTCCACTTTTGCGGACTCGGGCTGTTGCCAATGGTCACTTGACAAAACGAACAATGAGCAATATCACAGAAGGCTGTAACTCAGATAGTGGTTATAATTCTCAGGTGTTAGATGAAAAGTTTTCAACCAGTGTCTTTCAATCTGAGGCTGTGGTTCACATTTATATTTTTATATTCAAGGTACTAATGTTGTCAACCGAGCACCATTTAAGAGTAAGTTACCTTTTTGGATTTAATTACCATAAGTTCCTTTTTTTATTTAGAAGAAAAATTTGCAAAAAAATATTGCAATATGTTATAATCTTTAAATGCATTTAATTTTTTTTTATATAGTATCAGTGATAAAATTTGATCCTCAAATTTTAGAACATTATTTTCTTTTCCAGTTAGCATCAAAGAATTTTAGCAGTCATCCCATGGAGGTGCATCCATTAGTGTTACAAGTAGGATCCTCATTCATTCTGGGTATACTATGTGATGTGATCTCACCGAAGCTTGCTCTGTTAGTGCCTCAGGCCATCTGGTTACTAATAAGCTTACTAGTTTACTTTACCTATTGTAAAGTTCCTGTTCAACTTGTTCCTTATTTGAGATTAACAAACCAAGGCTTAATAGGTAAGTTACTTTTTGTTTTTGTCATCCTATCATCAGTGAGTTGTAAGTTGTATTATTATTATAATAAAAAAGAAGCGCTAAGCCACAAGGGCTATAGTTGTAAGTTGTAGTATTACTTGCCAAAATATGCAATATTTGTTGATATATTGTTTTTTAATTAATCTTTTTGTTAATTAATTTTGAGTTACGTGACATTTTACCCAATTACTGGCCCAGTGCTCATGCTGCTAAATGTTCAAGAGCACCTTTGGGCTTTTTCTTTAAATTTTGTTTTAATCTGTGGTATATCAGAAGTTCAGTCAATATAGTATTGTCCAGTTTGTGGCTATATATGTGAAGGTAAAATGTGTATTGTGACTTGTCATATTGTATGTCATGAATAATTTATAATACTATTTAATTTAACAAGTCTGTAAATTTGTGTACATGGTTCGTTTTATGGAAATAGTGGTGTAGAGAGTATCATATCACACTATTATTGACAAGGTCTCTGGTAGTAGTTCAGTGAGGTTATGATGGTATTTATACTTTCTTTTTTTTCAATAAGTTGGCCGTTTCCCACCGAGGCAGGATGACCCAAAAAGAAAGAAAAATCCCCAAAAAGAAAATATTTTCATCATTCAACACTTTCACCTTACTCATACATAATCACTGTTTTTGCAGAGGCGCTCAGATATGACAGTTTAGAGGTCCCTCCAAACTGTCAATATCCCGGACCCCTCCTTTAACCCTTAAACGGTCCAAACAAATCGGCGTTCAAATTCGTAGTGCTACAAAAGTAGATCTACTTTTTTTTACATATTTTCAAATGTAACAAAAAAAATGTAGATAAAAGTTTTTTTTACACGTTTTCAAATGTAAAACAAAAATAAAAGATCTACATTTTTTACATACTTTCAGATGTTGAAAAAATGTATATATACGTTTGGACCATTTAAGGGTTAAAGTGCAGGCAGTGTACTTCCCATTCCCAGGACTCAAGTCCAGCTAAATCTATAATAACCAGTTTCCCTGAATCTCTTCACTAAATATTATCCTGCTCACACTCCAACAGCTCGTCAAGTCTCAAAAACCATTCATCTCCATTTACTCCTAACACATTCACACATGCTTGCCGGAAGTATTTATACACACATGAAAAAAAAAAAAAAAGAGCTGTATTTCTTGGACTTGGAAAAAAAAATATGGCGAGGTGAACAAAAGAAGCAATGTGACTTGGGTTGCAAATATATGGCATAGGGGATCACATGTTAAAATCAGCAAAGTTTTTCTGAGAGTAAAGTTCAGGTCAGGATATCTAAGTGAGATTATTTGAAGTCAGAAATGGGGGTTGTGAAATGAATTGTAGGGCTAAGGAGAGGTGCAGAATTAAAAAAGTAACCAATTTAATATAAAATGAATTGCATTTTGCTGTTGACCCAGTACTACTTGTTTGTTATTAGGAAAAAAAATTGTGAAAGTTTGTGGAAAACTTTAAAGGGGTGTGTAAAAGTAGCAAGTTGAAATTGAATGCAGAAATGAGCAAGAGTAAAAATAAATTTAGGAAATGAAAGATTGTATGCTAAATTGGAAGGAAGGTGTAAGAGGGAAGTGACTGTTTATATAATTAGCAATAAATGTGTTGGCAGATGGGTTTATGAAAGTGAGGTGATTTGCAGAATAGAAAGAAAGTTGCAGGTGTGTGAGTCTGCAGAAAGAAAAGTTTGTCAACTGATGCAAAAGAAGAACTTATCAAGAGCATATTGGTGCCAATTCTTTTGAAGGGGTGTGAGGTATGATCTTTGAATGTAGTAGTGAGGAGTAGGCTGCATGTGATCAGCATATCTTGTGAGTATTTTAAAGACTTAAGAAATGAAGATGTATAGAGAATAAGTGAAGGGTTTGGAAGACAGCATGGTCACTATGGCAGTATGAAAGATACTGTATACTGTGATTCAGGGAGGAGGTAAGTTAAAATTTTTGTCATTTGGAAAGGAGGGAACAAGATACGTTGAGGAAGAGGGTGTATAAATCTGGGGTGGTTGGAAGAAGGCCAGTGTCTTAGATTGGAGTTAATGGAGGTAGGCGAGTTCTATGATTTCACAGGCTGTTGGCATTACAGTATAGGAATATCTGAAGAAATTCAGGAAAGCCAGTTAGCCAGACTCTAGTTTTAGAGGTAAAAATGTATAGTGCCTTCTGTATATAGAAAGATGGGCGAGATGTTTTGTGGTTTGCTGGGCAATTAGATTGTGATGTCTGTGCATCCTTTGGGAATTCACCAATAAATGGACTGTGCAGCTATATTAAAACATCTAAGCCTTTGGGTGTGTGTTTTATGGATTTGTAATGTTCAGTTGGCATAGGTATAGTTAACACTACTTCAGATAGCAGGAGACTTTATCAGTGTATCTCAACGCTTCTCAAAGTACTGTTTTAATGAAGGTTTATCAACAGTAGAATACATTACCCAGAGCAGTCAAGTTGTAAATACATGTGTGTATTGCCCCTGTAGGCTATCTCAAAGGTTGGGTTCTATCTAGCCTTGAGAAATTGTTCAGTCAATTATCTAGGCATTATTATTATAATCATGGGGGAGTGCTAAACCCATAGGACTATACAGTGCATATGGGGGGGGGGAATGGAAAGTATTCAGACTCAATTCATGGAACCGGAGCAGAGATTCAATTCCCTAGATCGAGAGCCCCTCACCAGCGTCAAGGCACCACCTCCCTTGAGGGGAATTATCTAGGCAACTAGGTCATAATATCCTAACTCAAGTGTGTCCAGTTGTTTTCATCCTGCATATCTCGACTTGAAAAATGAACACTATTTTACAATGGAAATAAGTCACTGACTTTTTTGGGTTATCCTAGGTTCTCTACACACATGCTGTTATGTACGGTAATCTAACTGTACGTATTCGTGTATATCTGAATAAAGTAACTTACTGATGTACTCAACTATTTGTGGTTACAAGGGTTGATTCATAGCCCCTGGCCTGTGTATGACTATGTATATCTACAGCAGGGCCCCACTTAAACAGCAGGTTAGGTTCCAGGCTACCGCTGTAAACGGAAATTGCTGTAAATTGAAATACCCTTTTTTTCCACTTTTAAATGCATATAAATACTAGATAACAAGTTTATACTAATATTAAGTTAGCAATAGAACTAGGCATTAAAAACAATGAAAACATAAAATACACATATAGTACACTCATTACTTACCTTAAAATATTGGTAGTCTTAATGTAGGGTGAGATGAGTAGTATGTATTGTAAGAAATCAAGTGTGGTATTTATGGTAGCCAGTCAAGCTACCATACCAGGCCACCCCACCCACACATAATATACTACGACATTTAAAGCACCCCAGAACAATAAAATGCATATACGTTTCACTCACTACTTTTTTTTTTTTTTTTCAACAAGTCGGCCGTCTCCCACCGAGGCAGGGTGACCCAAAAAGAAAGAAAATCCCCAAAAAGAAAATACTTTAATCATCATTCAACACTTTCACCTCACTCACACATAATCACTGTTTTTGCAGAGGTGCTCAGAACACAACAGTTTAGAAGCATATACGTATAAAGATACACAATATATCCCTCCAAACTGCTAATATCCCAAAACCCCTCCTTTAGAGTGCAGGCATTGTACTTCCCATTTCCAGGACTCAAGTCCGGCTATATAAAAATAACCGGTTTCCCTGAATCCCTTCACTAAATATTACCCTGCTCACACTCCAACAGATTGTCAGGTCCCAAATACCATTCGTCTCCATTCACTCCTATCGAACACGCTCATGCATGCCTGCTGGAAGTCCAAGCCTCTCGCCCACAAAACCTCCCTTACCCCTTCCTTCCAACCTTTTCGAAGACGACCCCTACCCCGCCTTCCTTCTCCTACAGATTTAAATGCTCTCCATGTCATTCTACTTTGATCCATTCTTTCTAAATGACCAAACCACCTCAACAACCCCTCTTCAGCCCTTTGACTAATACTTTTATTAACTCCACACCTTTTCCTAATTTTCACACTCCGAATTTTCTGCATAATATTTACACCACACATTGCCCTTAGACAGGACATCTCCACTGCCTCCAACCACCTCCTCGCTGCTGCATTCACAACCCAAGCTTCACACCCATATAAGAGTGTTGGTACTACTATACTTTCATACATTCCCTTCTTTGCCTCCATAGATAAAGTTTTTTGACTCCACATATACCTCAACGTACCACTCACCTTTTTTCCTTTATCAATTCTATGATTAACCTCATCCTTCATAAATTCATCCGCTGACAAGTCAACTCCCAAGTATCCGAAAACATTCACTTCTTCCATACACCACCTCCCCAATTTGATATCAAATTTTTCTTTATCTAAATCATTTGATACTCTCATCACCTTACTCTTTTCTATGTTCAATTTCAACTTTCTACCTTTACACACACCCCCAAATTTGTCCACTAACCTTTGCAATTTTTCTTTAGAATCTTCCATAAGCACAGTATCATCAGCAAAAAGTAACTGTGTCAATTCCCATTTTGTATTTGATTCCCCATAATTTAATCCCACCCCTCTCCCGAACACCCTAGCATTTACTTCTTTTACAACCCCATCTATAAATATATTAAACAACTATGGTGACATTACACATCCCTGTCTAAGACCTACTTTTACCGGAAAGTAGTCTCCCTCTCTTCTACACACCCTAACCTGAGCCTCACTGTCCTCATAAAAACTATTTTTTTATTTTATTTTTATTATCACACTGGCCGATTCCCACCAAGGCAGGGTGGCCTGAAAAAGAAAAACTTTCACCATCATTCATTCCATCACTGTCTTGCCAGAAGGGTGCTTTACACTAGTTTTTAAACTGCAACATTAACACCCCTCCTTCAGAGTGCAGGCACTGTACTTCCCATCTCCAGGACTCAAGTCCGGCCTGCCAGTTTCCCTGAACCCCTTCATAAATGTTACTTTGCTCACACTCCAACAGCACGTCAAGTATTAA